TAAATTTACGAATAGCCAAGGCTTGGGAATTCGTCCTTGAAAATTTCTATATGTTTTAAAATCTGTATTATTGTCAATTTTGTACCCCGTTTCAATTATATGGTTTTCTACCGCCCATGTTGATCGGATCATTTGACACCAATTGGTTTTTAAGCCATCTGGGTACATATTCAATGAACCAAGACGAATCGGTTGTCCAGTGCTTCCACGTTTTCCATGATGTCATTTAACACAGCTGTACAATCGTATTTAGTCGTTTTCATTACATATAATACTAGTAATAATAGTAGTAATAATAATAAGGAATTATTACGTCATTCACAGAAGTATTAAAAGCCAACTGTAATTTAAAGTTAATAAGAATGAAACGACATATAGAAACGAGATATGAAAGATTATTCACTAAACGATTATGGGGAAGATAAAAATATGAACAAATAATTTCAATAGCTGAAAACATGAGTCAATTGAAGCTAAACCACCATGGAAAACCTGGAAGCGCTGGACAGCTGTTTCGTTTTAATATGGAACTCCTCAGTAGCGTGCATCCAAGAGTCTCCCCCCCAGCGTGATTCGGATCCAGGACCTATCAGTCTCGCGCGCGAGCGCTTAACCACTAGACCCAAAATAAAGGTCCACTTGAAGAATACAGCAAGATGAAGATAATAAAACAAACAAACAGTAAACAGTTACTAGCAAAATATGAAAGGGTGTTGTAACCATTGTTTTAACGAAGAAACTGAACATACAGCTTCAAAAACATGATAAAGATCAGGGTTGAATTGATGAAATTCCAAACGCTTTGTTATGTATAAGTTTCAAATTCAGCTACTCTTGGAACCAGTGTGTTTTACTCTGTGAATAGTTTCGAATGAATATTCTGAAGGAGATATATATAATAGTTGTTCAGTAATATAGCTGTGGTCTGAGTCTCATTCACTTTTCAATACCTATGCTGAATAAACTTTGAGGTGGCTCAAAGTCAAATTTTATCGTGTATACATCCATGTATTAACCAACTGTTGAGAAATACAACTCTAAACTTAGCTAAATGAGAGATTTTTGTGGTGAACAACGTCACCGTAAGGAAAAATTTCTTTGTAAAGATGCCATCGTTTTGCTTCATTATCTATTAATTCAAAATAACTAAGTCAAACGGGGTTTCTGTAGAAAATTTTTGCACGGCTGAACCAATAACAGTTCATTAACTTAAAACAGACATGTACAATATCTTAATTCACAATGGCCCTATTAGCCCCTACTAATTTTATAAGTCTATTTGCAACTTATTCACTTTTTCTTCATAAATTGTCCATATTTCCCGAGTAAATAATTGTCTTTGGGCTGAAGACTCTTACGCAACCTAAATTCACTAGTGAAAATTTTTCGATACTTTACCACTGCCAAGGAGTCCCACAATAGGACGAAACGGCCATCTAGTACTTCCAGGTTTTCAATGGTGGTTTAGCTTCAACCGACTCATGATCTTAACTACTGAAATTACTACAATCTCCACAAAGCCCCTTCTGATAATTATCATAACTTTGTTAACGGACTCGATTTCTTGCCATTATCGACTACTATGTGTTAAAAGTGATCATAAATATGACTGAATAGGTCAAGTAAGTGACTTAATCGATAAGTTGAGCTTCCTTCTATGAATAGCATTTATTCTATTGATTAACTCAATGAGCTTGTTTCATTGCTTTGAAATAAGTGGTTATGTAATCAAGCAGTATTACGGAGTAAACACCAGTAGGTGATTAAAGAAAGGGGAGTTACTTCATACAAGTCGATAAGCATTACATCATATGTCCTTTCGATGTATAAGCACCTGGTAGAAATAGCCTGATGATAATTGTCTCTGTAAAACGGGTTTATTTGATTCCAAACATCGTTTGTTGTCCTCGTTTTCTTCGAATTTATCAAGAGAGCAAGATGCGTAAATTGACTTTACAGTGATAATCATCATATTTTAAGTAGTGATTAGCCTACAAATAGCTTGAGCGAACGTTTAAGCAAGGAATTGTAGCCTATGTCTGTAAGCTAACAAATAGTGATGCAGTAACTTACTAGATAAGGATAAGCAGTTATTCCGAATCGAATACATTTATAAACAATAACCTATTAACACACATATATCGATAACTTCCTGTCTGCATGCTCACTCTAGCATCTGACGTGCATTTGTTCTAGGTTCCAGATTGTTAGTCACAGAATGACTGTCAACAGTTATCCGCTAGCCATTCATACAAAGGGAGCTCAAGACCACTGAGAAGTGACCGAAATATGATATTTAGGCATTTCAGTGCTCTCTTACATGTCCCGCTATTAAGCTTAAGCCTTGAGCAACAAGCTGTAAATCTACATATCTTTATTTAGTTTGAACTAACCAGCAAGGTTCCCTATAAATCTTTGTCGAAATCTTCACACATGATTCAACTCAAACTTACTCTATCCAATGTCCGAGTCAGAGACTTCTTCGAGGCTGTTTGCACTACTGGTTTTCTCCTATAGGATTAAGATATCAACATTGATTGACCGTTCTTAAGTAACCGCTACCATGTTTCTGCAATCTTGTAATGATGGTCGAGCCCTATGTGACTACCACTCTCAGTGATCCAATATTATGTTATACTCTGTTTCGTAGTGAACAGCTTTCACCAACAGTAGATTCTTATACACTGCCTATTCTTAAAACGAATGTTCAATCAGTCATCGGTTTTTCACGTTTTCATTCAGGTTGTTACAGGTGGTTTCATTATTCTAAATTTTAAAAGATATAGGCGGTTAAGCACTATTTCGCAAGAATTTCATACTGTGACAACATTCGTATACTTATATAGTTAAATATACCCATTACGTACTATTTCTGTTACTATGTCGCTTCGAAAGACCGACATAATTTCATTAAAACGAAGTGCCACAGATCGAATCCATTTTTGTAATCATGTTAAACTTTGATTGTCAATTAATTGAAATAAACATACTGTTCGTATTTTCAAAGGAAATTGGATAGTAAATGATGTATATTCCGTTAATGAATTTCTGAATTAAGATCTCACTGTAATTACACATCTTTTGGTTTTTTGTTGGCTGCATAGACAAAGTTGATCTCTGATGAGAAACTTCAATTTTGCTGTTCTAGACTGAATTACGGAGGAGTTTTATACATTTTCATCGTACATCTTCTAAGACGACCCCGACACCCAGAGAGAAAAGGATAAATGACGATTAAATGACGGTTAACTCGAACAAAACTCAAATCTTTCAAATCCATTTCATAAACATAAATGTTGTCCTATTGATTCGCTGTAATTACAATCATATCATTTGGTGAAACTCTCCTTTATCCTTGACAATTTCATTATCTAAAACACCAACTGATTATGTGTATTAGACTACGACTAGACTGCGTGCCAATAGAGGAATTATTATGTGGCTCCATTGGTATTTGATAAATGCATTGTTCAGATTTCAATGTGATTTAGGGTTAAAGCAGGACATGTGTCTTTAATTTTGACGTATTTGAACATGAGTAAACATACCGAAATGTTAAGAGCTAAGATTGGCTAATCCAAATAAACAAAATGACTTTAGAATGAATTTTTTATCAACGTTTTTCAGCCCTTTGTCTAATTTAAAACCACACCCAAAACATGAAAATGACCATCACGAAATTCAGCGGAAATTCCAAAACTATTGAGTCAAGAAGTGAGGATGGATAGAAAGTCACTGTAATCCTTGCAAAAGAATGTTTTAAGAAACCGTGTAGTATATGGAAGCTAAAACAAGATGAGCAATTGTAAAACACTTCACCACAACCAGAAATGTTTACACAGCTGGAAAACACGAAAATAATCTCTGACTTCGAGATATTTTCAAGAAACTCTATTGAGTAGACACAACTGATTAAATTCAACCATATTAAATCTTTTATGACCTTAAATGATTGGTCAATCATATCACGGGTTGACAGGAATTTAAAGAGATGGCTTGAGACCACTGTGTGAAAAGTAACCCATCCACAATGTCATTTTATTGCGTCCCTGATAAGTTAATATTTGAATGTTCTTGAAAAGTCAAACTAGAAAACAACATCTGTTTACCGATCAACGGTTTTCAGGAAAATTTCCAACTGGATATAGTTTGCTATCTCTCATATTTGAACTCACTCTAATGGCTAATTGGATAAAGGAGGTTTAGGAGTCGTGATGGTTGAGATTTGCACTGTTGAATACTATTAGCAAAATGTGCATCAAATGGTAGTATACTACCGCCGCTCATCACGTTTTTCTCTGAAGCTAAGGAATAGGAACACAACACTTGCATTCATAAACAGGGGTTTTTTCATGACCATCATTACAGATTCATTGTAGTTAAATAACTATTGAAAATCAGTAAGCACTCGGTATCTGTTCCGTACAGACATGTGACTCCTTAGCAGTGCTCGTCCACTGGTGACCAAACACCGGATATGTGGTCTCATACACAGACGTGCATTTATCTCGTAATACAAGTAGAGTGGTTTTAAATTACGGACACTGTTTTCTCTCACTCTATCCAAACCTGTTTATTTGATATATTCCAGTGTTTCAGTCCTAATTCTTAGCTATTCGAGTGAGTTCCAAATCTTTAAGATGATCGGAGTTTTAATGAGTAAAATAATCAAAATTATTGACATTATCGTAACACTATTTGTCAATAAGCTGTTTTATTTAGAACTAGTTCGGATCCTTCTAATCTATGTTTATTGTTTGTCAAATGTGAAGTTAAAGAAGTAGTAGAATGTGAAGTGTCTATACACTTTGCTGACATAACTCCACATTTGGTAAGAAGCGGCGTGTCAGTTTAATTCATTTAAACAACCAATAAAGGCAAATGAAAAGATAAGTCTCAAAAACATTGTTTAGATTTTATATTTTCCGTTGATATTACAATATTAAGTCCAGTAACCTTTGGTTATTCATGTTCTTTTTTAATGTTTATTGAACAAAATACAAGATTCCATTATTTGTTTAATAAATGACAAAATAAAAATATGAAGAAAAAGAGATTTAATTATATAAATTTAAAGGCTTTTGGAAAATCAAATTTAGTGTTTAAACCTTCAATAATTTTAATCTCAGTCAGAATCGCCAGATTTGATAGCTCGTATAACACAGATAGCGAAAACAATACACAATAATTGAAGGATAGCGAATACAAATGCCGCTACTAAAACGGCGACAATATACTTTTCAAAGAAGGAGATTACTTTGTATGAACAACCCTGAAATTAAAAAGAACATTATTACGTTCGACTAAAATAGAGATTAAGTTTCAGGAAATAATTGCCCTATTTCTGATGTTAGAGGTCAAAATCTTTTAACGTCGGGTAGGTGGTATCCTGGAAACATGGTCTGTGTTTTCAAAATGACCGAAGATAGTGTGCGATATCCATGGCTGACTCAGAGTGTTGGTCATCAGTTTAAATAATCACCTATGTTTATACCATGCCTCACCCAGAAACAGCGTACTCTTGTAGTAAGCAAGCAAGGAAAACATTTGTGATTTGATGTGATCTTCAGACAAATGCAAACCTCACTAGTCAAGATTATCTATCCACTACTGTGAAAAGTAAAAGCGTGAGTTGAACCACACTAATAACGATCAAACATATTTGTCGTCGTACTAATAATTTTATCCAGTGTGCAATCATTATTCTTTATTAAATGCTGACTCAAGTAACAATGCCACTTAGTAGGGATGTGATCAGACATGATTCACTTAAAAAGCAGATCTCTACAACTATGATCACTAACATTACCACATCACACAAAGTCAGTGTGCAATGCTCATCAAGTCTATGGACAACATTAGGCCCAACGTCTTGACGTATAAATATGAACCATCAGATTTAGATGTGGCTTGAACTGTTTGAATTTTGAAGTGTGATCCTGAAAGTTTAATGAAGTGATTACTCTTAGCACCTGAGTATTAAAAAAATTTCCAAATTGTAAACAAAGCCGAATATCAAAGATTTTTAACGTGTTTTAAAATTAATTGGTGATGGTTCTAATATCTACACATTAGTGATAGGTCGAATATTCCAAAAGTTGCGTAGATATTTGCAATCTTCATGTGGTTCTGTGTAAATTAGTAGTTACTTTAGGATTAGGTTTATTTGACTGCAATCATCCTAAGGTACTTCCTGAGTCTGAAATCTCGCGGCGTAGGTCAAAACACCTCCTATCCTATTCGTATCACTGAAGAAAGCAAACAGAAGATCATGTTCACAACTCCAGGAAACAGTAAGTCCTGAGTAGTCACGTTGGCTGAAGATAGTAGTACTTTAAAATTGACTGTTAATAGGCATTTCGTAAAGTATTTAATCGAGATTCCAAGCTTGTACAAACATTCAAAACAGTTCACCATTGAGATTTGATAGATTAGCTTTCACTCATGCACAAAGATTGTAATTTTCACTTTTCCGTTGCTCGTTATTATTTCAACACATTTTATAGGTTTAAACATCCTTTAAATAGTTAATATAAGAGACGTATTGAAAAAAAATAGAACATCGCACATCACATCTCATAGATTTTTGAAAAAATATAAAACTTAAGTAGATATTTTGACAGCAAAACAAAATTTCTCTCAACTTACATCTGAGTATATAGCCTTAGTTTTTGTATCTTTACATGAGTCAGGGACGGTTTGTCCAGATGATGTGTAATCACCTGACGATTCAGAGCCGCAACATTGAAACTACAAAATAAACTACAGTTTGTAATGGTATACCTCTTGTTGTATCTTGTCTAAGAAATCCTTAAAGTCCGGATTCTTGCTATATTCATTGACGGAGCTTTTAACCAAAGATAGGAACTGAGATTTTACTTCGTCTCTCAGCACAGCAGCCGTTATTCCTGCCGCTATTTCAGCCGCAACCATGATTGACAGAAGAATTGCGTACTTTATTTTTAAAATAAATGTATGTAGCAATTTACCAAGATTAGACAACAAGTATTTTTGGTACATGCCCCACAAAATCCGAGAAATCCAAGCAAAAATAGGAAGCATCCGAGTACTATCACGAAGATTACGAGACCTTTGATGCTTGAATCGATCCCAGAAGAGTAGTTATTAATAGCAACTTGAGAGAGACTCCCAATCACAATCAAAGCAATTCCACATGCCTTTCAGGAAAAACGTATTTCACCATATGTTATCTAACTTACAAAAACAAGGATATTAAATATCACTAAAAGAATCTGCAAACACTTATAACCGCAGCTTAAAGAGGCCATATTCAAAGGTTGCACGGAAAGAACTTATGAAGTTTATATAGCTACAGGGTCGTCTTTGATACCTTGAATAATAATGGCGTAGATTAACAAAAATGTAAGTTATTATGTGATTTGGCAGAAAATTAGATTCTCAATGATAATTCTCCGATGAACTCACTGTACTGAATTAGTTCGGAAAAGAAAACTCTGTAGCGGTAAATAAATCCTCAGTGGTATTTTTTCTCGTTGAGTTAATTAACTGTTTTGATCGTAAATTACGCATCAAAACTACTGTTTACACTTTAATTTCATCTACCCCAGTTAAAGTGATATTTTATTGAGTTTTTCGATTTTGCTTCTGTGTATTTATTGCATCGAAGCATACTTGGTCGACTTTTACTTGGTTTATTTAGTTAAGGTTTGAAAATCCTTCTACATATCCTGTTTGTGTCACCGTTCTAGTTGATTTTCAAGATGGCTAGGTCTACTCATAAATGTGGACAACCATACTGCTTATTTCCCGTGGATGAAGGGATGCAATGTGATGAGTGTAATAAGTGGTTCCATAAGATGTGCACCCGATTAAGCCCCACTGCATATAAAAGGTGTTCAAAGCCCAACTCTCATTGGCTTTGTAGTTTTTGTTGCTCGAGCAAAACATTGCTTATCCAGGAAGCAATTAGTCTCCTGGTGTTGGCTAATAAGAGGGTTGATGAGGGCTGTACTGATAACATTGGTACGGATGGCGAAGATTGCGTTAGTGTCGTAAGTGCTATCACGGCGCAAGCCAGACATCTACCTGTGCAACCCACAGTTAAACGTTCTCCCCCGAAACGATCAGTGAGTGACACGTCACTAGACGTTGGTGGCCATATTGCTACAGCAGCAACCGGTGACCCAGATAAAACAATTACTGTCCCGAGTTGTTCTAATGCAGACGTTTCGACTGATTGAAAATGGATGACGCGAAAACGCAGAAGAGTAGGAAAGATAGCTAAAACTAATGACTGTTTACTTGGTAAGTCCTTGGTGGACTCTCAGACCAATCCGACAAAGTCTCATAGTAAAGCTTCGTCTGACATTGTTGTGAGTCATTCGCTTGACTCCCAGGACTCTGTTAAAATAAAAACTAATCGTAAGCTACCAGTAGTTAAAATACAGGATCTAACGTCACGGTCGAAAGCTGTGAACACAGTTTCAAAAGAAGCTAAACCCATCCCTAGTTTAATTATTTGGAATCTAGAGGAGTCGAAAGACAACGACCCTGCTAAAAGACACGCACATGACCTACAGTTAGTGGAGTCTGTGGTCAGGAATGTACTACCTGAAGAGGTTTCAGGGGTACATATTACAAAAGTAATACGACTTGGTAAATGGGTTGGAGGCGAGACCCAACCAAGAAGGATCCTAAAGCTGGTTCTCAGGAGTTTCGAAGAAAGAGACATATTATTGAAAAGCGCACAAAAAACTCGTGACTCAAATATCCGTATTCGACCAGATTGGCCGCTTGAGGATCGAATCAAGTGGAAGAATGCTCTTACGGAGTTGAGGACTCGCAAATTAAATGGCGAAAATAACCTTACCATTAAGGGTTTTCGGGTAGTCAGGTCTTTTAAGCCAATGTTTCGGAGGCCTGTATGGGTAGAACGATTGATCTCCAAAACACCTTAAGTGTGTGCTACACGAACGCTCGTAGTCTCAGAAATAAAACGTCCGAGCTAAGTCTGATGGTGCAAGAATTATGTCCCGATATAATCGTTGTTACAGAAACTTGGTTCACCGTTGATATAGACTGTTCTCCTTTCATCGCTGGTTATATCTGTATCAGAAGTGATAGAGTTTCAAGTCGCAAGGGCGGAGGTATAATATTTTACGTTAGGGATCACTTTCGTATACAATCAACCATATCGGAGGCTCATATCAGTGGCACATGTGAGGTTGCATGTTGTAAGATTAAATCTAGAAATGGGGTTAGTGACTATAGCGGGAATATACCGTAGTCCGTCTTGTCTGGCTGACGACTTTATCCTAAGACACATCTGTTCTTGGAGTATGGCAGAATGTTGTCTCATCATTGGGGACTTCAACGCACCGCATATCAACTGGATAGAGCTTACAGCTCCAGGTAGCGGTTTCGATAGCGACCTTTTATCTACCGTTATTCAGTGTGCACTTGTACAATGTATCACAAAACCGACACATATTGATTTGCATCATGTTCCGTCACTGCTGGACCTCGCCCTCACCCACCACTGTGAGGAAGTCTTTGATATCCAGCACCTTCCTCCACTAGTGAACAGTGATCACGTTGTAATTCACTTCAAGTTTAGGACACATGGTATACAATTCGTATCTGCTCCACCCCGTCCCAATATCTGGCGAGCTAATATTCCGGAAATCAGAAACCGTGCTATCTCGACCGATTGGTCGGTCGACGCGGATGGATTGATCGAAGATGAATGGAATAAGTTTAAGGCTACATTCGAGTCCGTAACGTCGCCGTTTATCCCATGGTCAGCACGTAAGCTATCACATTGCCCTCCATGGATTAATAAGGAAACCCGGAAGCTGTTAAAGCGTAGGAAACATTTCTGGGACTTATTCTTGTTGACAGATCATGCAACATTTAAGCGTGAGTATCAAAAATACCGTAATATCTGTAAGAAAACCATAGCGAAATCCCGTACCACTTACGAACGACAGTTAGTATATGATAGGCGTACTTGTCCGAAACGATTGTTTTCGTATGTTAAACGGCGTATGAAACGTAGTGATGGTATTTTCTCGTTACTGTTACACGAAAATTCAGATTTACTAGCTGAATAGGATCGAGCAAAAGCTGAGACTTTTTCAAACTATTTTAGCAAAGTCTACTCTACGTTTATTGTAACAAATACTTGTCCCACTCACACCGAGATACCAACCATTGGATCTGTACGGGTGACTGAGGAAACTGTCCTTCCGTTGACAACTAACCTCAAACCTGGTAAGATACCGGGCCCTGACGGGTTACATCCACGGTTGCTGTCATCTCTTGCGGACATTATTTCAAGACCGCTCGCGACACTTCAATATGTCCCTTTCACTCGCTCAACTCCCTACAGATTGGAAGGACGCTATAGTCAGTCCTATATTTAAGGACGGTCAGAGACAGATAGTATCTAACTACCGGCCTGTCAGTCTAACTAGCATAGTCGTTAAGTTACTTGAAAAGATTATTCAGGTTAGGTTGCTAAGCCACATAGATTCACAAAATCTGTTAGCTCCTGAGCAACACGGATTTCGAAACAAGCGTTCATGCTTGACTAACTTGCTTATTGCTAGAGAGGATTGGACAACAGCTCTAAATAACGGTCTGTCTGTCGATGTGATATTCATAGATTTTAGCAAAGCATTTGACAAGGTTTCACACGTAGGTCTTATGCAGAAGCTCACGAGCTTCGGAATAATAGGTACTGTACATGAGTGGATAGGAAACTTATTATGTGAACGCAGACAGAGAGTGAGGGTCAACGGAACGCTATCCGATTGGAAGCCGGTCAAAAGTGGTGTACCCCAAGGCACCATCTTAGGCCCTCTGCTCTTCCTTCTCTACGTTAATGAGTTACCGCTGTCGCTTAGGTTGTCGACATTATTGTTTGCGGATGGTGTAAAAACCTGGAGAACAATAAAAAGTGCGGCTGATCATTTGGATCTTCAAGCTGACTTAGACGATTTAGTTAGATGGGCTCGAGAGTGGGGCTTAGAAATCCATGCTAGGAAGAGTGTGTTGATGCACATCGGTCACGGTAACAGTTACCGTTATACTATTGAGGGTAAATCTCTTCCATGCGTTCAAGAACATAAAGACTTAGGAGTAATAAGTCATGACTTATAAACAACTACGTATTGCAACGCAGCCGCTGTCAAAGGTTTTCGTGCGTTATGGTCACTTCACCGAGCGTTCAAATCTTTTGACAAGGAAATGTTTCGAATTTTATATCCCACCTATGAAAGACCACATTTAGAGCACTGTATCCAAGCAGTTAGCCCATGTCTAGCAAAGGATACTGACTCACTTGAGCGTGTCCAGCGTGTGAGAACGAAATTAGTGAAGGGTATTCCTCGACTCCCTTACGATGAGCGTTTAAAACTCCTAAAACCTTTCGCCTTGTCGTATCGTAGGACACGAGGTGACCTAATACTGGCATTTCGTATCTCTAATTATGATTTGGGTGTTAATATGTCTTATCTTTTTGCTCCCTCCAGCACTAATAATCTCCGAGGTCATAGCAAGTAGGTTCACAAACCGCGATCTAGTAAACGTAAATTGGGGCTCCGTTTTTCTCATCGAGTCGTCAATGATTGGAACGCCTTACCCGAACAAGTGGTATCAGCCCCATCAGTGAATACTTTCAAGGAAAAGCTGGACCTTCACTGGAAAGCAATGTGTCAGGATTAACACAGGTTCATCAACCTACTATCCTTATTACTGAAGACTGAAAGTCAATAGCCCTGTAAGTCTTCGACATTAGATGCTGACCACATTAGTTTTAATGTACTCGCTTAGCTGAAGGTGCTTGGTCATTCATCCGCACCAGATCATGATTGAGAACTTCTTGCTCAACATCCCCTGCGAACGCCAGTCAGTTTAGACCAGTCGGTTTTCGATATATTAATAATCTATCAAATATATCTTCAAACCTCCACGCTTCTGACTTTAGATTTTCCTGGATGAGCACGACTCAAACTGGAAATACCTGTGGCATCTTCAAATCACTCTGACTACTGTCTGATATTCGTTAATCTGCATATATTTGTGTCATTCATGCTTTCTTTTCTGCAGACAATACCGACACACGAACTAATATATTTTATCACAACTTCAGAAGCATCATCAACAAAATCGCAACTTTAGAATTCTGGAGACCAAAGTTCTCTAAAGATCTGTATATACCGTTCGGTAAATGAAGACGTCTTTAAAGACATTGTACTCGATTCCACAAGTTTAACGACTTTTCCTCTTCAGTAACGATAACAGA